AAGAACTCAGTTATATCTGACCAAGTTTACAGAGAGGAGGTAGTACTAACTACTGTAACAGGGGAACTCAGTTAGTTCTGGCCAAGACCTGACTGACTAGCGATACAACTTTGCACTCAAGGGACTGAGTAGAGATCTCTTAAGAGATGTTGCATTCTAAACAAAATGACAGAAACGAACATTATCTTACCGTGCTGAATGTATCGCCACTTCCATACACGGTTACAAGTATTGTATAACTAGGGGACGTACCTGAAATATATACCTAAAGGCACGGAGATGTGGCTGAATATAGACCAGGCTGTGTTTCCATAGAAGTCCACCTGAAACGATGCATAAATGGTGGCTTTCAGTTGCTGTATACAGACAGGGAATATTGATGTCGGGTGTTCAAATCTCTCTCTCTCTGTCTCCCTCTCTCTCTCTCTCTCTCTCTCTCTCTCTCTCTCTCTCTCTCTCTCTCTCTCTCTCTCTCTCTCTCTCTCGTACAACACACGCACACAATCAACGTTAATTATCACCTCATTAGTTTCCGACCTATCAGTCATTAGTCATTATTCTTCAGCCTTCTGTTCTGCGCCAGCACCAGTTTATGTTTGTTTGTCTTCTATTAGTCTTCTTCTTCTTCTTCGCGTTCACCAGCTGTACACTCTGGCGTAAAGTTGTGGTTGTTCGTCCACTTCTGGACTGCAGTCCTGCTCCAGAACCTGAGTGTTGCGTGTGCATCAGTTTTACAGATCTGATTCAATTGAATGCAGACTGCTGGTTCCTTGCCTCTCAGGCAGATGCACTCCGACTTCAAAGAAAGCTCCCCAGTTAGTCGACTCTTACGACATGCTTTTGGGGAGGCAGTGGGTCTATTCTTGTTTTCTCTACAATGGGGCCCCGGAACCCACACGGGGGGGGGGGGTTCTTCTATTAGTAATTGCCTTAGTTGTTCTCAATGTTCCACCCCAAACATCAGTGCTGATTTGACATTAGAATTTTAAGTTTCGTATTAGTTGTAACTTATTCTGACCTCCACAAATGCCCAAGTGCTATGAAAGCACCTCTTGCCTTTTGTATTGGTATTTTAATATCTCTTATCAGTTTCCCGATCTGTATCTACATCACTGTCCAAATAGGTGTTCGACTCCGCGTCTTAGAGTGGGATGCCTTTAAGAGAAACCATATTACTATTTGCTTTATTATTTCTCATTAAGACAAAAATCCTCAATTTTGTTCCGATCGGTAAAAAAAAAAAGAAACTCAACCATATTCAACCTGCTGTTTGCTAACCGAAGTTGCCAACAGTCTCCAGTTATATTTGTGGTCTGGTTTATTTGCGCCACTTTGATCGTCAGTCATTCAATCCTATCTAAAATGCATCAAATCAACCAATCAAATAATTTACTGAATCAGATCTGATCAGCAATAGGACATTGCTCAATAAAACTGGCCAATCAGACATTGTATAAAACAGACCAGTCAAAAGCAAGCTATTTCAAATTGTCAGGTACAGTCTAAAAGAGGTAACAAATCACAAACATTGTATTATAACTGTACTACAATAAAGGTTGGATTTACAAGATCTAGCACATATAAAACCAGTCGTCTCTTTGTGAGACGCAATTTTTTTTTATTTGAAGCCCCACCCTGGCTCTTGCCAGGGGCCGCAATATAAAAAAAGTAAAGTAAAGATCCCTTTTCACGCCTTTCGGCGCATCGGGAATATGGGCAGAGAGTCCCATATTTTTACAGACCATCAGCACTCTGTGGGTAATGTGGTCAGCATTACGCCGGCTGTCTTTACTTTCCCAGGACAGCCCATCCTGGTACCCATTTTAGGCTGGGTCGACCTGCGACGTCCCATACCACGACAAAAATCCACGCAGCCTGCAGTGGGTTTCGATCGCGGTATGCTGGCTTACGAGTCGGACTCGCAACGCCTTAGCCGCAATATAGCCTTACCATAAATATAATCTAATGGCTGCACGCGGTTTCCGGGACCACTCCACGGTGATCCTTATCCACATGGTGGCACTTTGTGTTATCGGGTGTTTATCGCTTGCGTGATGTCCTGGTGGTGTAAAAATCTATTAATATTACTAATTATCCAGCAGATAATAACAAAGATAATTAACCAGTCGTAACGTGTACTAAACTAGTCTGCCAATGAAATACGTTTAATTTATAGCTTCTGTACAGGCTACATTTTCCCAGCGAATCAAATACACTTCAATTAACCAATCATTTATCCTACAGCCCAACTATCCAATCAAACTACAGCCCTACCTGTGTTTGGTTATGCTCCAATCGCTGTGTTTCGAATGTGTTGATAACCCACAGAGCGAAGTTACAGATGAGTAAAAATGTTACACATTCCCGACCAGGCTTTGTCCTCAGCTGTGAGACATAGAGATTGTCATGTTTCTTTCAGGAACATTTTACAGTGATGATACTGATGATTCTTGTCATAATTTTGATGATAATGATGATGATAATGATGATGATGGTAATGGTGATGATGATACTGATTTTAGCAACGACTACGACGACGATGTGTCTATAATATTGCAGTTTCTGTGACACAATGTTATTTATGGGTCATTTCTCAATAACAGATCTTTATGTGAAATAATCATAAATGACGTGGGTTTCCAGAATGAACAAGCCTTCAGTATGGGTACCAAGTTATGTTCAGGATACCAGGAGATGTTCAGGATACCAGGAGATGTTCAGGATACTAGGGTATGTTCAGGATACCGACATATGTTCAGGATACCAGGATATGTTCAGGATAGCAGGATATGTTCAGGATACTGGGATATGTTGAGGATACCAGGATATGTTCCAGATACTAGGATATGTTTAGGATATGTTCTAGATACTAGAATATGTTTAGGATACCAGGATGTGTTCAGGATACCAGGATATGTTCAGGATACCAAGATATGTTTTGGATAATAGGATATGTTCAGGATACCAGGATATGTTGAGGATACCAGGATATGTTCCAGATACCAGGATATGTTCAGGATACCAGGATATGTTCAGGATACCAGGATATGTTCAGGATACCAGGATATGTTCCAGATACCAGGATATGTTCAGGATACCAGGATATGTTCAGGATACCAGGATATGTTCAGGGTACGTTCAGGATACTGACATATGTTCAGGATATCAGGATATGTTCAGGATACCAGGATATGTTCAGGATACCAGGATATGTTCAGGATACTGACATATGTTCAGGATACCAGGATATGTTCAGGATACCAGGATATGTTCAGGATACTGGTAAATGTTTAGGATACCTAGATGTGTTCAGGATAACAGGATATGTTCAGGATAGCAGGATATGTCCCTATAGGACACGGATCACATCTCCAAATGGATGACACTGGGAGTGGATTGAGCACCATGCTCTCAGTCTCATCATGCTCTCAGTCTGTCTCACTGGTGGAAACTTATCCTCTACATTTATGTTTCCTGCCATGCATTCAGTTTTGAATGCTGGGCTATGCAGGAGGCTCGGGTTCGAATCCTCGGTAGGTGGATGAGAGTTTGTTTTTTATGTCAGGGGCACACAAAAAACATCCTAAGCTGAGGGAGGCATGAGTTGGCTTAATGCTTGCTAATACATAACATCTCTGCGTGAAACGTCCAGTGCACAACAGTACATGAATTCAGTGGGAAAACGACAAAAGACCCAGAGGTGGGAAAATCTCACTTGACAAAAACGCAAATCAGTTACTGTAAACAGGTTAATTGTATGCTTTGAACTGGCGTTTGAGTTTTCATGAACAACAAATGTAACTTTTTTTTTTTTTTTTACACTAAAAATATTTCTCTAGAAATAGGACATTATAATTACCAGGTTACATGCCAAAATTTCAACAATTCATATCGAACGGTTACTGAGTTACAGATGTTTACAGATGACTGCGATTTTTGAACCCGACTATAATTTGTCCTCTCCGGGTCTGCAGTCTGAAAGACTGACACCCAGTGACGGAAGAGTCCACTATTTTGATAGGAATCCAACAGGATTAATCCCAGATACCCCGTTCAGCAGTATAACATAATTATACTGGGTAGTTTCCTGTTACGAAGTTATACCGGTACAATGAGTCAAACAATTTTTGCTGAGGAGAAAAAAAAAAAGGTGGGGTGGCGGAGGGGGCGGGGGGGGGGGCGTGTTAGTTGCGTTTTTCCATTCAGGGTGTTGCAAACCCAACTCCCACTATCTTCTGGCTGTTGAGAGTTTTCCAGGTAATTTTACGTTCAATAGCTTGTCCTTGTCTAAAAACGGTTGGCTTTCAATACCACTATCGAAACCAACACAAGGCGGTTCATTGTCGATTTGCTTGCAGCGAACATCGTACCCAGCACCCGCTCATCAAGAAGCGAGTGCACAGCACCTTAGAGACAGACGTCGACTGCTGGGGAAAACATAGTGTATACAGATAATGTGTGAGTGCTCTACCGTCGACTTACAAGTTAATAAAGCAAACAATGACAATTAATGTATATATGAAACAGCTACTCACTTATGGCATGAGATGTTTGAGAAAGGCTGCGAACAAAACCAGATGAGATTCTGTTAGAAGTGAAGAGATTCGGAGAACTACTGAAGCAGTACCCATCGTTACATTAATTCAAAAACAAAAGACTGAAATAGTTCAGGCATAAAGTGAGAATGAATGCAGCAATACCAAAAGCGAGAGAGCACAAGTTGAAAATGGGAATAGCAATAAGTAGAGGGAGACCCAGAAGGTTATGGATTGAGGAAACCATTGACAGCCTGAGACTTAACAGCATTACAGCATACCAATACCAGTGGCAGCACTCATCGATTGAGGAAACCATTGACAGCCTGAGACTTAACAGCATTACAGCATACCAAGCCACTGAGTACTCCCTCGTTCGGCAACATATCATCTGTTGAACTACGACGCCTAGCGGCACAAAACAGATATTGACACAAGAAGAAGAGGAGGATAGAAGAAGCTCACTTGTTCGTGATCTCTGGCTGAGGCTCTCAGTGCTAGGAACGTAAATGCTGCCTGCGAAGTGGATTGGATGACCATAAAGAGATTGGTGATGATGGTCAGACGTCCGTGCAGGGTGTCCAGGTAGAAGGTGGCTGCGATGATACTCCAAGCGCCGTAAAGGATCAGACCTGGTCGTCAGATACAGAATGTGTAGTTTATGTGTACAGGTAATTTTGTTGATTTTATAATGTGCTGATGAAGGCTCTGTAGCCGCAACGCTCATTTTTTGTTTGTGATTGTTATATATCGAAGCTCGCTGGTCTAATGTCCCTTTGGTTTTATAAATCAAGACAGGAAGGATAACCTATGTTTGGCTCGGCTTGTCCATGACTTCGAGTTTACTGGGCTGCTACAGTTTACACATAAGTTGTTTCCCCTGTATCTAATTCTGGCCTAGTTCGGTCAGAAAACAATTATATACTCGAACTCCTGGTATCCCAACAAGTTGAGCTTAAAGGCTTTACATACTAATTACTGAAGGAGTACAAAAGGGAAACTGTAAAACAGAAGTTGTCAGACTAATATTTTTGCAGTAAAGTCTTAAGGCATATTGGGCATGTAGGCCTGGGGCTTATATTTTATAAATCAATCGGCACTGGGTGGCTGGGTATAAACCAGTTTAAATGTAGCTGTGAAGCTGCTTATGTGGGCTGCACTCATCGACGCCTGGAGAAACGAGCACATTCCAGTATGGGTGGAAAAAGCCATGCGAAATAATATTTAAAATGAGAATACTGGCCGCAAAGTTCCCCCCTCTGCAATAGCACACCATCTTCTCAAATATGGTCACGTGGTAGCTAAGGACAATGCTTTTCAAATCTTCATAGGTCAACCAATGGCAGATTGTGAAGATTTCTCGAAGCTTCTGCGATTCGTCAACTGCGCCAGGGACTGTGTATTCAGAAAGAGATGGTTCTGT